AGAGTCAAAGAAACTGTGTATTGCCTGAGAGTCCTACAGTACAGAGGAGTGATAATGACAGGAACATGCTCTCCTTTACTTGTCTTTGAAGTCCGGAACCTCCTTGCTTTTATAGACAGCTTTAATCTTTCAAAACCCACATGGCTCTCTCCCTCAGCTGAATTATCAGTCACAGTGTTTGAGGATCTTGCTTGCCACGATAGCAGAATGTCACCTGCAAGACTGAAGGATTGTACTGCCAAGGCACACTCCTGGCTCAGCATGCTTCTGGCTGAAAAAAACCCCAGCATTATTTTCTTTGTGCTTGTGACAGGGCTAAACCGTGGCAGTGCAGTGAAAAACCACCAGTACTGTCCTGCACAGCCAGCACCCTGTCAGCACCAAAGGGCAGATTGCCTGACAGGACCTCTCTGACTTTCAATTTAACCTGGCATCTCTCCAGTTTAGCAATTCTGCCACCTACAAAATAATTAAAGCAGCTTGCTTTGCCACTGCTTCCAGATGCAGTAACAAAAACTGCTGCATAAAGGCAGTAAACAAGAGCTGGGCTAGGACAGAGCCTTGCTTGAGGCTGTTTTTGACAGTGACATGTTCTGACATTTTGTCATCACTAAGAACCTTTTCATTACCTCACATCACCATGAAAGAACCAAAATATACTCACAAACTTATTTGGATACCCAAATTTATGCAGATGCCTCTGGGCTGCTCATGGCTGGTAGTGCTGGAATCCTCACCCAGCTCTGCAAAGGCCAGGTAGAGACTTTGGCTCGCTTTGAAGCAGGACAGGGCTAAAAGTCAGACTGTCTCTGCAAAAGCCTTTTCAACACCCTCACCCACAAATCTGCTGATGTCATTGTGACAGATATTTTTCCCAGCAGCTGAGAAAATCAATATACCTTGGTGTCACTGCAGGGATGTTTTCACCTTTTTCATTGTAAAAGGCACTATGCAGCTGTCTTCTTGAATGCCTTGAGTTACCAATCTCTTTATTAGGTGATAGTAATGAGCTCCTGTTTTCTAACTGGTTGGTGACACTCTATTTATGCAATGGTAGGTGTGAGTAGGGACTTTGCCTTGCTCTGTGGCAATGGCCCAGATGCTGTAGGAATCTCTACTCCCCATTTTTGAATGGGGAGCTGAGAAGTGTCTTTCAACTATATCACTGCTAAAGAATGCAAGGTTTAAGAAATTGCTGAGATATTTGAGCAGGCCATCTGCAATTTCCCTTTGATCAGCTTTACAGGGTTAAAGTGGTTTTACACCACAGCATTTATAAAGAATCTTGTCATTTCCATGACATGCAGCTTTAGAAGCATTTTCCCTCATGTTTCAGTTGGCAAACCAGAGGCTTTGCTTGTGATTTCTGCCTAGTTTTGTGGGAAACAGCTTTCTTGCCTGCCAGTTTTTATTTTTACTTGAAGCTAGTTCAGCACCTGCATGTCAGCAGCAATCTGATGCATGTGGCCTTTACATTAACCCAGTTTTAAGATCTGAATTCAGCAAAACCAGTGAGTTCAGTTTAAGACCTCCCTAGACTCTCTTTGAACCTTTCCACACTGTGTTGACATCTTCTGATTGTTTCTACAGTTAAACTGTAGCAACATCTTCTTTATCTTCACACCCACATGCCCTCTCCTGAATTTCACTCAGTATTTGTAGAGCAGCTCGGGGTCACTGAGCACTGCCTGACTCCTCAAGAGCTGTCAATCAGATTTGTCCTCAATGCCCTCCAGAGCCTGGGGCCCTCACTGCCCTCCATGAACTGAAGGATCCACTTAATATTATCACACCTGCATTGCAGGCTTTTGTATTTAGTCAGATTATTCCCCCAAAAGTGCTCTAGAATCATATTCTGACCTTTAATCTATAGTGTAAATTCATTGTAAATACTTTGGCAATGCAGATCAGTGGATTTACTTCAGATTAACATCACCATAGGAGAAAGTAAAATCTGGATAAAAAGAGAGTTTTGGCTTTTTAAAAGTTTGTTTGGCAAAACATATTGTTTCATTAATGACTCAAGAATGATGCATTTTGAAATAGTTTTGAAATCCAGATCTGTGTTTACATAGCTTCTGTATCTTACCTGTTAAAAAATATGATGATATGAGACAGAGAAGCACATGTAAAGGGCTTATCTTTTACAAGTGAAAGACTTAAGACTTCCAACATTTTGGTAGAAAAATTTCCCTTTACGTTCAGTAATTTAAAAGCTTCTTTTTATTTTCTCTGTAAGCAGTCTCATTACCATCATTTGGGAGAGACAGGGTGAGAAGAAGCCTTTGCTACTTGCCTACTTCATGCATGCTTTCCCAGAGGGAATAAATCCACCTTGGACTTGTTTACTGAGGGTTTCTTTCATTGACTGTACAGGAGTCTAAATTACTAAATTGGCATAAGACTTTTCTTGTCTCCCTGCTCTGCTCACTTCCTCCACTCCCAGGCTTGGTACATAGCCCTCTCCAGCTGATTCCGTGCACACAACCCATTCCTTCTCTTAGTCACGATGCTGTGTGGCAGGAGGTTACCCCTGGTCTCTCCTGAGTGCCCCAAAGCAAAGACCACAGGGGAATTTGCAACAGACCGAGAAGCAATCAGGAGTTTTCCACACTGCTGCAGCCTCTTGGCCAGCTGGGGGGTGCTGGTGAGGGAAAGCCAGAGCAGATGTGACAGTGCCAGTGAGCAGACCCCAGGCTGCCTGGGATCTGCTGAGAAGCCCAGAGTCTTCCTTCAGTCAAGGGTGACTTGATAAGCAGAGACTTCAAGGCAGATTCATTCCCTCTACCTTCAGGCATCTACAGAGCAGATTTCTGCACTTGAATTAGTCACTGTAGGCTCCTTTCCAATGAATGCAGAGGAATCTCCACTTCCTAGGAAAGATTTCTTGAGCTATTTTAGGCAACTTTTATATGAATTGCTACCTCAAAGTAACTGTTTTACTGCTGTGACCATGAAGGGTGCCTAGGTGGCTTGACATCAGCAAGAAGTGTGGTGAAAGCACAGCTCACTTCAAAGAAATGACAGGAAAGTACTTGAATGATAACTCTATTAGGGGTTACTAAAAAGGTAAAGCTCATCATACTGAGCTAAAAATACTTAAGAGCTAGGAAAGAAACTTGGGGGATTTATCCAGCTTGCCCCCCATTTCCTTATTCTTCCTGGGCCCAGACTTACTGCCTTTGTTAGCTGTTGAGCTGAACCCTTGATCTGACACAGGATGGCCACTCTTGCAATCTTATGACCAGCTCTGATGTTTTCATTGAGACATTGACATTTTATCAGAGAATTGCACTCATCTTGTCTCAAAATCTATGACCAGCTCTGATGTTTTCATTGAGACATTGACATTTAATCAGATGAATTGCACCCATCTTGTCTCAAAATAGAGTTCTGGACAGTAAGCAGTATGTGCTTTTGCAAATTAAACTGCAGTGTAAATAAATGAATGGAAAACACTATGCTAGGAAAATGGTCTTGGTGTGAAACCTGAGATAAGAAACCAGCAGAATCTGGTTTTTTTGATCATGGGTCAATCTACATGACAGCAGGTCTGTTTGTGACAGACAGATCTTTGCCCAGTTAGAAGGGCTCACTGGAAGAGTTTAATCTTCTAGATTTGAAGAGGTGAGGGGATAAAACCAGACAGATCTTTGCCCAGTTAGAAGGGCTCACTGGAAGAGTTTAAAACTAGATTTGAAGAGGTGAGGGGATAAAAACAGTCTAGATAGAGACAAGCCTGGAGGCAGTACATCAGTGTTTGATGGATGGTGTGCTAGCATGCTCCTTTAGTCTGCTGCCTCAGTGGCAGGGGGTGGAGATGGATGGAGATCCACACAGCAGCAAAGATGCAGGTGTCACTGAGGTGTTAGACATCACACAAGTGTATGAAAATGGTCACGCAAGACTCAGGGCTTCTACCCCCAAGAAGGCTGTGGAAATAACAGCCCAAATGAAGTGCATCTGTGCCAGTGCATGCAGAATGGGCAATAAACAGAATCAGGAATTCATCATGCAGCAGGAAAACCATGATACAGTTGCCAACATGGAAACGAGGTGAGGAGGCGTGCACAACTTGGGTATTGCAATGCAGTGCTGTCAGCCTGACCAGTACCAAGGAAGATCGTGGAGCAAATCATCTTGAGTGACATCCAATGGAACGTGCCGGACAAGCGGGGGATCAGGCCCAGCCAGCATGGGCTTGTGAAAGGCAGAACCTGCTTGACCAACCTGTCTCCTCCTATGACAGGGTGACCTGCCCATGGATGAGGGAAAGGCTGTGGATGTGTCTACCCAGACTTTATAAATCCTTTGATATAATTTCATACAGAATTCTCCTGGAGAAACTGCTTGTGGTTTGGATGGGTGCACTGTCTACTGGGTGAAAAAGCTGTCTGGATGGCTGGACCCAGAGAGTGGTGGTGCATGGAGTTAAATCCAGCTGGTGGCCAGTCTTGAGTGGTGTTCCCTGGGGCTCAGTATTTGTGCTAGTCCTGTTTAATATATTTATCTGGACATGGAGATCTGGCACACCCTCAGTAAGTTTGAGGCACCACCAAGCTGTGTGGGAGTGTTGATCTGCTGAAGGGTAGGAAGGCTCTGCAGCAGGATCCGAACAGGCTGGATCCATGAGTTGAGGCCAATGGTATGAATTTCAACAAGGGCCAAGTGCCAGATCCTACACTTGGGTCACAACAATCCCATGCATTTCTCCCAAAAACCTCATCTATCTGTAATTTCAAAGTAATCAAGTGCCAGAAAAGGGAAAAGGAATATTCCATAATGGAGGGGAAAAGGAATATTCCATAATGGAGGGGAAAAGGAATATTCCATAATGGAGGGGAAAAGGTATTTTAGAGTCCCTCCTCTTCCCTGGCACAGTACTACAGTGTGTACTACACACTATACTAAGTACTACAAAGTGTGGAGCATCTGCTTGGCCTCAAGGGCAAGGGCAAGAAGAGTAGGAAAGCCCTTTTAAGTGATTGCTCAGACATTCAGAAAAGTGCAAAGGAATGTGTGCACGTGAGGACATTCACTGCGCAGGGAAGGGAAAGATAACTGCTGAGGGAGGTCATGAACCTGCCAAGTGTGCTCCTCCGAAAAGCAGAAAGCGCAGGAGGCCAACACTGAAGACGGTCCAAGAGCAGAGTGCTGAATGGAGGAACCCTGGAGCCCTGAGGTGGGTTCTGCAGCCCTTCTCCTGCACAGAGAAGAAAGATATTGGTGGGAGGGTGGCAGTGGAAGCAACATCACTGGGGGGAAGCTCTGGTATGAGTGTACCCATATGAGGGTGCACACCCCAGCAGAGGTGTACCTGAGTACCTGAGCACTCCGCACCACGCAGGCTTGGTCCGGCACGCTCCTGTTTGTACCACGCACACACTTTTCATACCGGAGCTGGAAGCTGCTCCCCCTGCCCTTCCCCCGGGCCGGCCCGAGGCGCAGCCTGGCCCGGTGCCGCGGGCACGGCCGGGCGGGGCGGGGGCACGGGCAGCGCCGGGCCCGGGGGCGGGACGGGACCGCCCGGGACGCGGAGCGGCCATGGGGAAGCTGCTGGCGGTGGCTCTGGTCGGGATAGCGGCAGCCTTGGCGGCGGAGCGGCTGCTGGCTTTCCGGTGGGTGAGCGGGGCCGCGGTGCGGGGCCGGGCGGGCGGGACGGGCCAGGCGCTCCCCTCCGCCCTGCCAGCGCGGGACCCGCAGCTCCCGGCTCCGGTGCGGCTCGGCGAGCACCTGCCCGTGCACCAGCGCGGTGTCAGCCAAGGGGGGGGAAGGGTTCTGCACCATCATCATCATCATTGCCGTCAGTATCATCAAGGGAACCGGGTTTTCTCAGGGAAAATGCAGGCACTGTGGTGCGCTTTTCATCCGATTTCGGCATTAACTAACTTCGGGACCATTTATTGCACCATTTATTGCATCCTTCCCAGGATGATGGGAGCAAGGGGGACAAGCGAAGAAGGTGCCCAGGGACAGGGGGTAGTATACCTCTATTTTTACGGCCTGCAACTAACAGGAATGTGCCAAAAGCACTGTCTGTGAATTTACCTTGTCTCCTGCCAAGTGGCCAAACAGTAACCCCAAACAGTTTGCCAGAAGCTTGGGTTATGTTCTTCCAAAGCTGACCTCTGGATAACAGTAGCCCCTATGTACATGAGGTTTCCTCTGGTGGAGCCCAGATTTGGTGATCCAAAGTTGTGACCTCACTTGTTGTGAGCTGAAATACCCAGCCATGTCCTGCTCCATATCACACACCTCATGCCATGAGGTGTGAATGTGAACACTGGTGTTACAGCAGCTTCTGTCCTGAAAGCTCCTGAATGTGTAACTGGTCCTTTCAGGTCACAGAAATGATGCTGAATTACTGTACTGGAAAGTGACTAAGTCAGTATGATTTTGCTTATGTTTACAAGAACCCCAAATCCCTGATTTCAGCAATGACATCCTGCTAATTGCACTTTTGCTAGATAGTAATTGCATCTAATTACAGAAGGAGAGCTTTACTGCCTGGACCCTGGTACCTGGCATGGATGGTGGCTGCATTAAATCCACCACAAATGTTACTGGTGATAGCCACGGTGGTAATAGGGCCCTCCTGTCCTGGAGTTGCATAAACTGGGATAGCAGAACTGGAAGATACTCCCAGGCTTTAGTGGGGTGAGCCATTTCAAAGTGCAGTGAAGAGCAGAGGACTCCACCTCTCCTCCAAATGGAATGAACAAATGAAATGTTAGGAATCTGGTAAAGGAGAATCTCTATGAAGAAATAGGATCCCCCTGTCTCTGTAGCTCTCTGTGGGTTTTTCCTGTGTGCTGTGTTTTCTGCGAACTGCAATGTACCAGCAGTCTTAAGACAGTTGCCAAGTTTGGAAACACAGAACTTCAGATCACAAAGTACTCTAAAAGTAATTTAACACAGTCTTGAGAGGAGAAACTGTGGGTGGTGTTAGCTCTTGCCAAGGGTCTTTTTTATTCATCCCCTACCCAGAGGGCAAGAATCTAGCAAAGACTTTCTGTAGTTCCTTCTGAATTTGTTAAAAAACCCCAGAATCAAATCCCAAGCGATTCATGATTGGTTAGTCTAGAGATGAGGAAAACTAAAAGAGAGAAAGATCTTTGAATATGCAACAGGTTCCTTCTGAAGGGAAGGCCTGTGGTCTGTGTCTCATGAAGTAGGGAAGCAGGTGGAGGACTCAAACTGGAGAGAGAAACTGAGGGAAAAGGTGCCATGCACTGGACTTGCACCAAGTACCAAAAACTAGAGAAAGATCTTTGAATATGCAACAGGTTCCTTCTGAAGGGAAGGCCTGTGGTCTGTGTCTCATGAAGTAGGGAAGCAGGTGGAGGACTCAAACTGGGGAGAGAAATGCAACATATTTTCTTGTGTCACTGCAGACCAGCATGGTCAGACCTCCTGGTTGTTGTGAGGTGGTGCTCATGCAGATTTGCAAAGGTGCCATGCACTGGACTTCCACCAAGTACCAAAAACCGCTGCTTTCTTTGAAGTTGCATCCCGCACATATTGCAGGCCTTCCACATTCCAGGTCTCGTTAGTATGGCCAGTTTGTTATCTAGGCCATCTGGCTGCGTGGCTGAGGCTGTCTGAGCTAGATAAACTGACACATTTTGGAAAAGCCTCTATATATGCTGCAGGCTTGTGACTGGTGTCCTTTTGAATTACTCTCATTCCAGCCCATGAAGTGTTTCCCTGGGAATGCTGTCGGGATATCATCATCCTTTGCTGGCTGCTGGCTGAGTTCCCGCTGTGCTTTTGGCTCGGGGTGGCTTGCAGCCTGCCTGGGAAAAGCTGGTGAAAATAGGGAAGGGAAAAATCCTAAAAAGGCAGCAGTGCAACTTTAGGCAGGATCCCCCTGAGCCATCCTCAAAGGCTTGAGGATTTGGCTGTGCTGGGATGCTGGTGGGTAAGGGGCAGCAGGGAGATGGATATCCCTCCCGTGCTGTTTGTGGGCTGGGAGCCAGCATGATCTCTGTCAGTTCTCCTGTGCTGGGAGAGAGGGCTTGGGAGGGTTTAATTTGGCTCCTTTCCCTTGCAGTTGTCTGCGCTTTTTACTGTTTTTCTTCTTTTCTTTTGGCCTTATGTTAACAACCTGTGTCAGTCATGCAGCATTGAAGCAATTTACAATTCATATTTAAGTGATTAAAAAAATGCAGGACTGACATACCATGTAGTGCTTGACTGTATCACATATTTTTCATATCACTGAGTGATACTGCTGTTTACTTTATGTTTATGCCTAAAACCATAACATAAACATGGCAAGGTTTTGCTGTGGGGTCTTTGCATTCAGAATTTCCTGTGATTGCAGCAATAGCCTCAACATATGATAGTTATGCAAAAGTGTTACTACATTAGGTTAAATGCTTCTTTCTGGTCAGGAAAAAAAAAAAGAAAAAAAAAAAGAAAAAAAAATGTTCCAGCACACTAGAATACATAGAAATGCAACATATTTTCTTGTGTCACTGCAGACCAGCATGGTCAGACCTCCTGGTTGTTGTGAGGTGGTGCTCATGCAGATTTGCAAACAACCTGGAACGGAGGAAGTGGAGAAATATGAACTTGTGTGTGCCTGTCTGTATCTGCTTGTCCAGTGAAGTATGACCCAAAGGTGGAATTTCATGCACATTCATGAATGAAATAAGTACTGATGAAGGGTAGTGCTTGGGGTGGTTACCAGGAGTGAAGAGGAGGGGACAGGGCAATTGCTGAAAACCATACTACCAAGTCTTGCTTGTGGTAAGGAAAGGAGTGCTCCTACCTTGCAACAGTGCTATTCCTACCTTTGAATGTAGACAAAAAATGAAGAAAGTGCAACTGCTGGTGGTCTGGTCACCAAAAATAGGCAGTGGGTTGCAGTAGAAGATTGCTCTCTCCTCATGTGAAATGCTGGTCCTAACTGCAGGGTGCTTCTATATTTAGGCGTCTGAAACCTGAATAAAGTGTGGTTGTGTTATCATCTGAGCTGCACTGGGTCGTGAAAGCTTGTTGCTGAAGCTTATGAACAAAATGAAGTTTCTGAAGTTACTCAGAGTGGAAGAATCACTTAATCCTTGGTCATGTGTAACCATTGCAGTGATTTGGAGCAGTTGCTGTTGTTGGTTCTGGAGTTTGCTTATTCAGTATTTTACGGCTGATTTGTTGCTGCAATGTGGCAGACAATAAAACTGAAAACTAGGAAAGTTACCTGTTTTCAAACTGGCTATGTGCTGTTTAACCCTGCTCTTTCCTCTTGCAGGAACAGATTCAATGCTTCACGGGAAGTAGCCCCAGTGAGCCTCCCGAACTGCCGGCTCATTAAAGGGATCGGTACGTGCTTAAAATAACTGAGTGCCTTGCTTTTGTCCAGCCTTCTTTTGTAATGGCTTCTTAAAGCCAGCTTCCAAGCCTGATCCCAAAAACAAAGTGCTAATTTGACTTTGATTTGCTACTTGGACTTGGAGATAGGGAGAAACTGCAGGAAAAAATAGTCCTGAAATACTAGCTGGGTATAAATCAGTGTTTAGTTTCTTTTCTTTTTCTTAAAATGGAGTACCTTGAAAACACTTCTCCTTTCCTAAGGCACTTGGGAAATGATTTGGCTTTTAGATCAGGGTGTGCTGGCTCTTCAGGCAGGTTCCTACAGGAGGCTGTCAGCTGGTTACACCTTGGAGATGGGCAGTGCTGCAAGGGTGGAAGCCTTAGCAGAAGGCCTTAGGCACATGGCAGAGGAGCGGCTGGTAAATGCCAGCCGGGCTGCCTCTCCCTGGCACCACATTTTGGGCATGTTTAGGATCTGGCTGGTGCCGCGGGGCCGGTGGCGGGCGGGAGCTCGGCGCGGTTGTGCAACGCAGCTGTGCGGTTCCAAAGAGCGAGGGGTCATGTTTGTCATCTTACTCTGGTTTGCAGAGAGGTTTAACAGAGTGGCTGAAATGTTGACTTTGTACTTTGGGCCATGTGTTTAGCACACAGAAATATTTATGTCTTGGTGGTTTTTTTTTCTCTCCACTTAGGATAACCAGTTTATAAATTGATAGCTTTGAAATGAATTGCTTTTTTGTGTCTCCCTCCCAAAAAACCTCAATCAGGCTTGATGGCTAAGGATTTTCTCCTCCTTAGTATTTTTGGAAATGGCTTAAATGATGTTGAAATTTGTCTGGATTTTTGATGTGTAAAAAGTCATTGGATGAGCTTTTACAGCTTTGCCTTTGAGCTTGCTGAGTCAGTAAGTTGATTTCATAGATCTTGTTTCTTCCTTGTGTCAGGATTCAAACATCTTTATAAAGTCAAATTGCTGCTGTGAATGTATATATGCAGAGTTCCTGTGCTTGAAAATATGTACAGAAAAAGATGGTATTAAAAACATTTTCCAAGTCTTCTAGATTAAGCTGTAATTTACTCATACAAGACTATGAATGATGCTTGTTTGGCGGTGATTAATATAAAATAATTTCTGAGTAATTTTTTAGGCATACCGCTATTGCAATCTTTATAAGACTTTTTTGCAACATGATTGTTCTGTTGAGGAAAGAAGGAAACCTGGAAAAGACAAATAGAGTTGTGTTTCGTTTCTGAACAGTATCTTGGTTTTTGTGCCTGACATTTACATGCAGATTAGGTTATTTCTGAGAGCTTGTCTCTGCTTAGAGGCAGTGGATCCATTTACTGAGTTCTATCTCTGCTTCTTGCTGGCTCCTCCAATGCTGTCCCTTCACACAGAGAACTGCCCCTTCCTTGTTTTTGCTCCTCAGTTTGCTGCTCATCAGAAAAATTAAAATGCCAAAAAATTAGTTTAGCAGGTCCAGTGCGGCAGAAAGAGAAGTAACAAAGGATTGTGCAAATTTAAAAGTTGGCATGTTCACTCAAACATCTTCTAAAACTCATTTTCTGTGACCAGGAGGCTTATATTAGTGACCAAGGATCCCTAAAGCTTAAATGCTGCCTAGGTAGTACTGTTCAGACAGAAGGTTCTGCTGTACTGGGATCTGTAAAGTTGCTTGTATGGGTGACTTTGTCTTAGGATGTCTTTGTACATGGATGTCTTGGCCTCCTGGGCCTTTTTCCTTTAAAATGCTAGGTTAAAGCTGAATAAACAATCTGTCTTTATTTTAATGTTTAAATCAGTCCTTCTGAACTCTTGAATGTGACATAGGTCCCAGAGCTGGATCGGCTGGATCTGAGCAAAATAATCTTAATCTATCCATTCTGTACACAGAAGAACAGACCTCTGGTAGAGTCTATGAAATATAAGTGATGGATCTATAGTAAGTGACACAGACTAAATGGAAGACTTCTCTAGTGGACCTTTTTCTTTCTGCACAGTTGCATCTTTTCTGTATCTTTCTGAAGACTTTAATCTATTCTGCTTTGCAAATATTGTGCAATATAAGCACAGATACAAACACTGAACAAACAAAAATTGCTCATTCTCAAATATGTAGGAAAGGCTGTATTTGTAGACTTTGTAGCTTTTGAGTTTTACTGATTTCTTGTCATGTTACTGGTTTATAATAAACTAACCATATCTCCTGTACTGATTCCTAAAGTTCAAGAAGCTACTACAGAAGTTGCTAGAAATGCTTGCATCTTGGAACAATTAGTGGGTTATGGGCAAAACAGTGTCACACTTTTGGACATGAAATCCAGATGGGTTTTTTTGTCAGATACACCTGCAGAATACATCATACTAAGATAAAATAAAGAACAACAAAAAGCCAACATTTCTAGAGTAGGCAGCTGTTTTTTACATTATCTTTTAATTTCTCCTGAATGTCACCTCTCTTCAGATAATCCCACGGACAAGCTGGGCTCAGTGATACAATTAAACAACATAGTGCATACAGGGGGTACCTAAGGAGTCTCTCCTGGCCCATAGGGCGCCTGCAGCAGCAGCACAAAGCCCAAAACAGGGCAGGAGAGCCCCTTTGCTGCCCTGCGGCGGTGCTGGGTCAGCAGGGCTGTGCTGAGTCAGCGTTCCGCTGCTCTCCTGACGCCGCTGGCTTCCACACATTCCAGGACCTGGCCATGGAGCGCCTGAAATGTGCTTTGCTGGGCAGTTTCCCTTGAAGCAGTTGGGTGCAGGGCTCTCAGTGTGCTCCTTCCACCAGAAACTGGTAGGTTTTAATTATCTGTTCCCAATTAGCCTGCTCATCTTTCTGCTTGGCAGCCTCACCGATTCAGTAGCGATAAATGATTCTATCTCTGTTTATTCACTCACCAGTGTGTGCTGCCAGTAAAAGCTGTCTGTCCAGCTCATGTCACCATGGCAATTGAGCCTCTCAGCATTTATTTATGCTATTAGCCTTGCAGCAATCCTGGGAAGTGGAGAATTACCACTAACCCTATTTTATAAATTAACCCAGGCTTGGAGAGACTGGGGCAATGGAAAGGAGTTTGTGGCTCAAACCAGAGTGTAAGCTGAGCTGAGAAAAAAAAGAAAAAAAGAAAAAAAAGAGCCCAAATTCAAAACTTAAATTGGTAAATACAGGCTCTAAGTGTTTCTGGACACATCAGTGCAGATGTTCTCTCCTGCCTGAGTTAGTCAAAATTCAGAACCAAAATCCCAGGTGGGATAGCAGCTGACTCCTCCCAAAATGCATCTTCAGACATTTTGTTCTTCAGAAGGCAGGGACAGAAGGCAGCTCTGCAGACAGCTCATTGCCATCATGGGATGGAGCAGGAGCTTGCTGAGGCTGAGGAGGAGCTGGCCCTGGCCAGAAGAGAGAAGTTGTGCCACTGCATCTTCCCAGAGCTGAGCTAGGGAGGAACTTTCTGGATGGGTGAATTTGGGGTTCTGGTTCCTCTCCACAGAGGCTGTCAGTGATCCCAGGATCAATTACAGCCCAGAAAAACCAGTGGTTGGATAAATAGGAGTTGCTTAAAAGCAAACAGTAAGCCCAGCTCAAATTTGCAGGTGCTTCCTTGGGAAGAGGTGTTGATGTGCAATGGGTTGTGTGACCCACGCAGGCTCACATGTGTGGTTATGCCAAAGCAGGAGGGGGTGTGGAGACATGGGACAAGCTGGGTGGAAAAACCTTGTGTTGATGGCTCTGATAAAGAAAACCTGTAGAAGAATTTTCTTTAATCAGATGCTCCTTCCCTCATCATCTGGAAAGTGACTTGTGAGGAATGCTGTGTTTGCTGGTGATTTGGAGAAAAGAGGGGAGATTTCTCAGGGGAGGGGTGGAAATGTGGGATGTCAAATGGCCTTCAGCATTGGACTAAAAGCTCTTTGGGGCGTGCTTTATGAAAGCCTAAAATTACTCAAGTGTTTTTACTAAAGGGTTTTTATTTTATCTTCCTTTCTTAGCAGGATAAAATATTACAGGAGCTACAGGAACTGGCAATATTGGAAGTGATTACCTGTAGTTGAAAGTGAGGTGTAACTATGAAATCTCTTAGCTGTTATAGATATAGTAGGTTCTCTGTCACTTGAGAGCTTTAACTAAATATTTGGCAACCCATTTTTGTGAAGTGTCCAAGTTCAATCAGGAGAATTAGTGAGCACAGTTCCCACAGCTGCCTTATGCAAGCCTGAGGCCTGAGGCACAGGTATGGTCCTGCCCTGGAAATCTCCATACCCAAACTAATTGCTCACTGCAGAACACATCCTCAGGAGCTGGTGATTCATCCCACACCTGGTAATTCATCTCACAACATCTGGGGGCACAAGGGTCTGGGTAGGAGACTGCCTGGCCACTGCAGGGGCACCCCTTGGCCCCCAAAAGAGGTGAACCCCAGTACTATTTCCTAACCTGATGTGATGTCTTCTGCTACCACTTTTAATGGCCAAACTTTTCCACCAAACTTCATCGTGTCTGGGGTCATACCAGAAAGGGTCATTCATGAGAGCTGGAATTGTACTTAAAAAGGGATTTTTTCAATTGGAAATGCTTAATGTCACCTGAAAACCCCTGTTTATCTCTGTTTTGCAGAAACTGGTTCAGAAGACATCGATATCCTTCCCAATGGACTGGCTTTCATCAGCTCTGTAAGTTCCCATGCCACCTCCCCATGCTGGGGTTTGCCTGTTTCCTTATCTGCAGAAGCCACAGGTGAAAAGAGCAGGAGGGGCTCTTTTCTACAAGGTTGGCTGGCTCCCAAAGAACAGCCCAGTCTTAGGCTGGCTTAGCTGTCATTCCCCTCAGCAAGCATGTTTCTTGTCACAGAAGTGGTGTCGGAGGCTCTGACACAGGTATCCTACCACACTGACTTACCTGGCCACGTAACCTGGGCTTTCTGTCATGCTGCTTCATTGAAATGTTGAAATGTAATCCTCTGCCATGTTAAGAAGCTGTGTTAATTCCCTAACTTTAAGAAAAAACCAAATTTTATGTATCGATTTTGCTGTTCCTGATTTTTTTTAGCCTTTAGGAGATACATTTTCAAGCTCTTCTTTGCAATTAGGATGGCTGGCCATAGGATTTCCTCATGTGTGCTTGCAAGCCTGATCAAGGCTCTGGCTTTTTCAGCCTTGTGATGCTCTTGTTTACCTTTTACCCAGGAGTTATTTTCTCATGTTTGGATTTTACAGGGCTTGAAATACCCAGGATTAAAGAGCTTTGCTCCAGATAAGCCAGGTGAAATATTTTTAATGGATTTGAATGAAGACAGTCCCAGAGCAGTGGAACTGAGAATCAGCCGAGGGTTTGATCTGGCATCGTTTAACCCTCATGGAATCAGCACCTATATAGACAGAGGTAAAGAGCTTGAGATGGTGGCAAATATCAGCCTAGAGAGCACAATCAGGCATCCCTCTGCAGCCTTGCCCTGCACCCCCAATGGCGGTCCTTGCTGGGAGACAAAAAGGTTTGGGGTATTTTACCTTAGTTTTGCCCTTTTCTAAATGTCAGTTGCTAAAGGAAACACACTTGCACATAATTTCAGTCGGTCTGAAACTGAAGGATGCCCTGGATATTAAAAGGAAAGAAAACATGGTAAAAGTTAGGGTTGAAAACCACAGAAAATTGATTTTACATTTACATCTGTCTCATGCTGGGTTCAAGTGTTTTGAGGAGATATATCCTTCACTGACTAGTAGTGCCCAGAATGGAAACTTTTGTGGCAAAACAGTAAATTATCAATTCTCTGTAAATTACCAAAACCTCTGTTACTCTTTGTCCAAGCTAGGTTCTCTTCTCCCAGATATGTTCTCCTATGCCAGACTCTGACTACCAATAAAGTGTCTTTTTCCCTGTCCTTTCATTGGGAATTTTAGCAGGGCAAGTAGAATTTTGCAAATATAAAGAAAACAATTGCTGCAGCTTGACCTGCATCCCCGTACAGTCACCCTTTAAGGGAGGTGCTGGAAAAACCAGTGGTGGCTAATGCAGGGTCCTGCCAGAAGGGCTGGGCAGATGGGCTGCAGCCTTGCATAGAATGCAGGAGAAGGATGCTCCTTCCACTCTCCCAGGGGAGGCAAACCCAAGAGCCCAAACTGCCTTGGCCACAAACCCTTCTTCCAGCTCACTGGGGCTGATTCACAGATTGCAAAATCCAGTGGCTTGGGTATAACGATGAGGTGGTGGTTTCCTCTTTCCTTGGAAGAAATAGCAAGAATCTAGTTAACACAGCAGCTCCCTGTAGAGCCAGCCTGGGACAAAAGCCGCTGGAGATCTGGGTGTGTTTGCAGAGGCATCTTGCAGAATGTGGGTACTCGTCCCTCTGCCTCTGCAGAGCCACGAGACAAATGCCCCAAACTCAGCATGTGCTCTGTGCTGGGGGCTGCCTCTGGGCTGGGGTGCTCAGCCACACAGAGTGCTGCAGAGAATTCAGCTGTTTCCATTTCTTTTTCAAGACAACACCGTGTACCTCTTCGTTGTGAACCATCCCCACCAGAAGAGCACAGTAGAATTGTTTAAATTTGTAGAAGATGACAATTCTCTTGTACACCTGAAAACCATTCGACATGACCTTCTGACAAGGTATTGGACTCAAATACAGTTTTCCTCCAGATCAGGCTGCCTTGGTGAAATCCAATGTAGGATGATTTTTGGGTTTAGGCTATTATTAATAGGAGATATTTCCTCTTTAACCAGCATCCCTGTTTCTTTTACTGATTACTTCTTATCTGTGTAATCAAAAGCAGTGTTGCCCCAATCTCTCCTCTAAATTAGATTTTTAATAGTTGTATCACTAAATTAGTCTTAAGCCTTGCTGTGATTGATGCCAGTGAATTAGCTTGGCATCCATTTCTCCTTTGTTCATGCAACCCACACTCAGGTCATTGCAGATATGAGTCCCCAGATATTTTATCATCTGGATTTCCTACACTGTAAAAATAAACATACATTTAGCTTTTTCTGCTTTTCTTATTTTTAATACAATTTTTTTTTTGGTGTGTCCTACTGCAATATGATTGTAAAATAAACAGCCAGATTGATTAAGTTGTCACAACACCTACTTGTTCTCTGATTTCTACTTGAATGTAATGAAAAAGAAAATAATACTAATAATAAAAAAAAAAATTTCCATGTACTTACAGACATGTAGCCAGATTTTTAGCCGATTCCCTATGGCCCTATTCAGGTCTCAGCATTGCACGTCCTGGCTCATAGAAAATAGAAGTAAAAAGGAGCTAAATAATTTGGTGACTCCTTGAAGTACATCTATAATTGCAGCCTCTTTATGGGTATTGATGACCATGTCCTGATTGTATTGTGGGCAGTCCTTAAATGCTCCTTCATACCTCTCATTTAATTTTTTTTTTTAAATTTCTATATCTCTTTATTTCTTTTCTAGTGTGAATGATATAGTAGCCATGGGACCAGACAGCTTCTATGCTACCAATGACCACTACTTCTCTGACTTCCTCTTGATGTTCTTAGAAATGTTCTTGGGTTTAACCTGGTCAAATGTTGTTTACTACAGTCCAAAAGAAGTTAAAGAAGTAGCATCTGGGTTTTATTCAGCCAATGGAATTAACATTTCACCTGATAGAAAGTAAGTTTCTTCTTACATTAGATTTTATTTGATCACACAGAAGTATCTGGAGATCTGGAGACCTGGTCCCTCTGTGGTCAAGTGTCTGAACTGGTTCATGTAAGGCAAGGTGCTGCCTGGGCAGCACAAGTGATGCAGAGTGTTTGTAGCACAGAAGTTTTGTCTCTCTCTGTTTAGCAGCAGTGTTTGCTGCATTGTGTGGTACTTTATAGGCAATAAGGTCAACAGTTGCTGCATTTTAACCAGCTGATACAGAAGTTTGTGTGTCTTGCTTGCAAGGATTAATGGGGCAGGGTTTCTGTAAGCCAGGGGTGCTCTACAGTCCTACACCTGTATGACTGAATCAACCACTCCTGTGGTGTGGACAGGTGATTTAAAAAAAATAAATCATAATTGTGATTTTTCTGGTTCCAAGGTTTATTTCAGTGTCATAATGGAAAAACTGACACAATGTGAAGCTACACTGGCACCTCAGTGTATCTGAGGTGCTCAGCAGGTTGGCTTCAGTGCCCTCTGGCTGGCTTGCAGTCTGTTTGTGTGTGGGCTTCCAGAGGAGGAACTATCTAGTCTTGGTGTCTGCTTACTCATATATATTAAGAAGTTCTTTTCTTTCTTTTGAAGGTACATCTATATTGCAGATATACTGGATCACAGTGTATATGTCATGGAAAAGCATGCTAACTGGAGTTTAACCCATGTGAAGGTAAGGTGCTGCTGTTCTATAAAAAAGAGGCAGATATGGATTTTGGACAGAATAGTTTCAATGAATGCTTGAGATTTCAGCATGAACATCTGTAAAGTTCTGATCTGGGTGCCTCCTACTGTGGGTTTGCAGAGGTGTCTGCACACCCTGTTACAGAGCCTCAGATCTTCCACCCTCCCACCAACAGCCAGGGAGGAATCCTTGGGTATGCTGTTGAGCTGTAGTGGAAGTCTGCCTCAGGCAGTGGGGAACAGAGCGCTGAAAGCATCCACAGAGGTGTAGGTGTGAATGAGCTGATGGGGGAAGCTCAGAACAGCAAACAGGTTTCTCATAGCACAGGGGATGATGCATACCAGGGGAAAAGACAAACAGAAGTTGGGGGAAAAGTATTTCTTTAAAAAAAAAAACAGTCTAAGTTGTGTCATATGAGACAAGTCTGTTGGTTATGTTGTGATTTGCTCCCAGGATTTCTGATAGATTTAATTTTTTGGTTTTTTTCTGTGTTGGCTAGATGCTGCAGCTGGACACTCTGGTTGATAACTTGTCTATTGACCCTCACACTGGAGACATCTGGGCAGGATGTCATCCCAATGGGATGAAGCTGTTCTACTATGATCCTGAAAATCTTCCTGCATCTGAGGTGCCTTTTGGGAGACATCACTGGTCTCTTGACTATGTCTGTGCCAGAAAGTTGTTTTGTTCAAATTATGCTGGTATAACTTAACTGCATTTCATAGAAAGTGCCTGGCACAAAGTGCTTTTGTTAAAGCAAAGACCAAGCTGGCTTCTGGTCTCAAGTGAGAGCCTGAACAGCATATACTCACTAACAAACACCTATTCAGACCCTTGGGCAACAACTAAATAATTTCCAACCAGTAGCTTAGTCACTCTGGACTCCTCAGGCTGCTTTCTGTGCAGCTGTGGACATGCACACAAATTCTGTTGAACTGCATTAATTACTGAGCCAGCACCTCTTTGCCAAACTAAAAATAATTGAAGGAGTCCAAAGCGTGACCAGAAATGTTTCCACAGGAATGATTAATTTGTGCAAGTGTGGTTCATCTGTAGGTAACACTGTAATTCTTCTTTCTATGAAATCAGTGAGGTACTGGCATTGGGCAATAGCAGCTACGAGTGCAGCTGGCTGCTGTCCATTGGATTTCAGCCTTGTCTGAAGGTCCCTGTAAGACACTTCTCAAAATTACCATGTTCAATAGCAATACATTTCTGATACTAAGCAGTTGTTTGCTCTGTCTAGGAAAAATATGAAAACAAGAAGATATTAACTAACTCTTAGTCCGGAAAAAAATGTGCACATTCCTGGTGGTGGGGATGGCTGCTTGACTTCCTTACAGTGTTGCACAACAACTTTAAAAAAAACCATAAAAATCAGTGTTCATGGACCGTGCTTCACGAAAGGCCCTCTCACAGGAATCACGTGGTTGTAATTATCAGCAGCTGGTCATCCTAACTAATTTGTTTAAGTTACCATGCTGAGGTTCCCCCTCTCCCTGGAGCATTTTCACCCATGCCCATTTCAACAGCCGTATCCTCCCGCTCTGGCAGGTCCTGCGCATCCAGAACATCCTCTCGGAGGAGCCTGTGGTGACACGTGTCTACTCTGACAATGGCTCTGTGCTGCAGGGAAGCTCAGTGGCATCCGTCTACGAGGGAAAACTGCTCATTGGCACAGTCTTCCACAGAGCTCTCTACTGTGATCTATAGCTCGTCACGGGCAAGACCTGCTGCTGTGGAAAGGATTTAATTCCTTGGGAACTCACTTAGTTTCTGCTAGATCTGCTAACAAGACTGTTCCAATAAAGGTTAACTACAGTAATGGAAATGTATTTTAGCCTTCCTCTCCAAAGTGAGACTTCTACACAATAGTAAAGGACATGGAATTGAAGGTGAGAAATTAGTTTATCTGTGTAATGGGGAGGATCCCATGTTGTTAACACAGGGTAACCTTGAAGTTCAGTTTCAAATTGTAAATGACTAAACTGTCAGACACTGAACTATGTGCTGGCTGGATGTTTGTTGTTTGGTTGTTTTTTTCCCCCATGAGAAAACTGATTTTGTAAATGAGAATTGCTGACTACAAGTGTGGTGTGCATTCTTGTCACTGACCCTTGGGCCTTTCCAGGGACTGTGCTAGGCATTTTTCTTCAAAACCTTCCTGTTAGCTTTCCCTAATCCTTCCAAAATAAGCAGAAGGAGAATAAATGTCATTTCAGTCTCATTCATTTTCCCTTCTCCCTTAAAGCCATTTCCCAATGTTACTACATTTTCATAAACTTGTTTTAATACGATGAGAAAAGAGTAAGCCATCAGTTTGGAGAGGTTTCTGACTGGCTCTTTGAAAGGGAGTTTAGAAAAGCTTTTTTTCTCTTAAGAGTGGGAAGCATCTCCTGCACACCTTCAGCAGGTAGTGCATTGGGAGTTCCTATTGTCTGTCACTACACAGGGAGCATTTCTGGGCACTGTGCAGTGGCTCCCCCAAGCCATGGTCACACAGTTCGGTTTTTAACTTCTAACTTTTAACTTCAGCTGGTGTGGAGCTGATTCCTGCAGCACTGCCATGCACCAGGCAGCCCCTCATGTTTACCTGGCATCAGTTATTGACATTCTGCACTTCCAAAAGCTCCCCAGGTTTCCTTCAGCTAGTGTTTTTGGAATGATGTTAGCAGTCATTTGCAATGAAGTGAACTCAGTGTCCTTTGAAGCTGGAGCTCATGGAGTGAGCTCTTCTTGCATTGGTGTAGGTGCCTTTACCCTCAGAGCAGCTCCTGCTGCACTTTCTGAGTTCTCACCTGTGATCAGCTCTCCAGTTTTGTGAGAGTTGCTGACATTCAGCTGAAGGCTCTGCGTTACATGTGGGATCTCTCCTGCTGGGGTTGCCACTGTTCTGCCTGCACCTGCCTGTAATGGCCCTTTTCAGCATCTTGGCAGCCCCTCCAAATGCTGCCACCAGACAGACATCCCTGCTGCCACCAGCCCCTCTGCATCCTTCAGCTGATGCAGTAACTTTTCCTCACTGCAGTTCTTCTACCACCGTGGAGAAAAAAGACAGGCTGCTCCTGAAGTGCAAGCATGGGAGGAGAAAGAGCCCGTCCCTGGTGCTGATTACTAAGCTGGCTTTGCTGTTCCCTCCTGCCTCCAGCACCAGCCACAGCCCCCTAGTCTGAACAGTATATGAGAAGTCCAGAAAACACAAGAGTGCTTCTGCCTTCAAGAGAGACCAAATAACCTGCTCTGTAGTGGCCCAAACACTGAGATAGGATGTGGAATGTGTGCACACCCTCCTCTGTCTGTGTTCTGCTGTTCTGGCTGAGAAGAGGCAGTAGTCCAGCCCGAGGTTTGGGTGAGCAGGGGTCTTGAACAGTAAATGTGTGTACTGACACCTCTTGGCTCCAGCACCTTTCCTTTCTAATGAGCCTAATGGCTTTCACCCACTGGTAGGAAAAGAGTAACTGCTCCTTTCCTGAGCAAAAGGGACAGCTCTAATCAGTAGGAGGTCAGTGCCAGGGCTTGTGCCTGGGGCTGTGTTGCTGTAGGAAGGACAGTGTCACCCCACTTCCACTGCACAGCTGAGTGGGCTGTGGGTCTTGCTGCATCCCCTCCTGCCCCCACAAAGCCTCTGCTCCACCCCAAGCCCTCGCATTGCCACCGCCTTGCTGGCACAGACACCATGGTGTAAGGCACGTCCCTGGGCACAAGAGTTGAGTGAGGCTGAAGAACAGCCAGTGGCGTGCTGGCCCTTCCAAACACCAGCAGCTTCCCTCTGCTGCCACGGCCAGCACTCATTCACACCCACGTACCAACATGGCCCCTGCTATTGGTGATGTTGTGTACCAACAGCACGGGCTGCAGGGGTCAGTGATGGCAGGAGGGGCAGACTTGGGTGTCAGTAAATCACACAGATAATTGATCTGTCTCTGGGGGCTGGCTCTGCATTAGCACGTTTGTGCACAAACCATGCTTGCAGCTCTTCTCCAAAATGCTCAGTTGATCTGGGGACTTGAGCACTGCCCAGGCTTCACTGTCTGCCCATGAAGCTTTGGTGACAAGGACTCATCTGTTTGGATCACAGTTCTGAATCTTGCTGCCCATGGCGTGCAGCCCTTCTACAGAGCAGAGCCAACCCTGAATGAGGGCAGCTTTTGTCTCATCCCTTTGCTGTACTTTGGCATTACCTAACTCTGGCTTTTCTGCTCCTTCCTTAGCAACTTCTCTCCCTGCAGGACACTTTCAGCTTCCCTCCTAAGTGGTGTGCTTTCTTACAGGAACTTGCAATCCATTTTCAGCTATGAAGAACAGATGTCATTGCTGGAGCCCAAGCCGAAAGAACTGCTCTGAAGGAAGTTCTCACAGCATGGAGAAGTTGGGCTATTCACTCATTTGTGATTAGTCATCAGTGGCTTGCACTAGCATTCTAATGTGATTGTTCTAGGATTGTGCCACATTTTGTTCTGAGTGCTATGTTCTAAAGAGCTACATCACATATCAGTGGCAGTGGCACAGCTGAAATGCCAATCGGTCACTGTGTGGGTCCTGGATTTACTCTCTGGTCGTAGAAGGGCAACAGCCATTTCCCTCTGCAGTGCATTAGTAACCCATCAAAACATTATTTTCACATTTTACTGTTGCTTAAAACATCTTCAAATGAGCAAATCTACATGTTGTTGGATCTTGTCAAACTTCTACTTTTTCATTGGTTTTGGCTTTTCAGAAAATCCTTCACTCATCACTGACTTTTTCCTGTTCTAAACTGCTCCTGAGCTGAAGATTTTCCCGTCGGTCTGCCTACAGATGGAACCATGAGCAAGCGAGAGGCCTTATCTTTTCCAACAGTGTTTGAGAGGAGAGACATCATAGCTGCTGTTACTGACAGTGACCTTTTGGCCTGAGACCAGGAGGGCAGGAGCCCATTGCCAACCTCCCCCCAGGTATCCCAGCCTTGCAGTGCAGAGGTGGGAATTGGAGCAGTGTCCAGGTGGTGCTGGGCAGCAGAGCCAGCAAGCAGCTGGTGTGCAGCAAGAGCCACGCTGGGGCACAGCTTCTGCCTCCTGGCAGCCTCAGTGCAGAAACAGCAGTGGAGGATGCAGCTCCAGCCTGGCCTCCCAATTACAAAGTAACCTGCACGCCCAAAATCCAGGCTTGCAATCCCAAGGAGGGTATAACCCATCATCTTTAACACTCTGTAGAGACTGCAGCAGTTCTGGGCATTTCTGAAACCCAGCTGCTGCTATCTGAGACAACCTGCACAAACAAGACATATGTACAGATGGCTCCAGGCCTAGGGAGCTGCTGAGCAGACACATTTTACACGTCAGCTGTGGACCCAGAGCATCTTAGTATATGCATTTTAATTAAGATAGCGATTTTATGAATTGAGGATTCTTTTTATCTTCTTGCAGGTGGTGCCCCTATTAGGGGAAGGTAAGATTTATGATTCAGTCATTGGGAAACACAAACTGGGTTAGACAGATTAAGTGCACAGTGTTTGGCCTAGATTCTGCCAGATGTAAATCCACTAAAATGACTATACAAATTGCACAGTCTGTGCCCTTCCATTTTCCCTAACTTAATGCTTTACTATAATCAAATAAATAAAAGACTTATTAAACATATACAGTAAAAGAACTGCCGTACTTTTGAATGTATAAGATGCCCATTATAAATAACCTACATTTAAGTGTAAAATGTTTTTATGTAACAAAATCAATCCAGATCTTTTAAACACACAAACACTGACCAGTATCAACATGAAACCAGTCTATTTTTACATCAACCTGCAGCAAAAGACTGCACGCTACACTTCACCTTCATATGAAGAAAAAAGACCATTTTTTTTCCTTAATATAGATAGATATATATTTTTTTACTTCTTTCTACATAGTTACAGAGTGTAAATGAGACCCACTTGGGGGCTTGTGAATCATGCCAATTTGGCCAAGAACTGGAATTAAAATAATCTTTGGCTGAGTAGAAGGAAGCAAGGAACAAGCAGGGCAAGGTATATATTCCCCTGACCCACTAGCCTGACCCATGCAGCTGTCTGATTGTCCTCACCATTTATTATTTCTTCTGGAACGACAAAGAAAAGGGCAGAAAAGGGAGGACTCATTACAAATTCTAATAAAGATTCAGGATTTCTCTTTTTATTGCATTCGTTGTCTAACAACAATAATACTCATTGGCAAGAAATTTATTTACACTAACAAATTAACTTTAAACCACAAGGCTTTGTTGTTTGTATTTCAACTGTAAGAAAACAAAGGGCCACCATGATGTTTTCTTTTGATGTCTCCCAATAACTAAATATCAAACAAAGTTATCCTGGGGAAAACTCAACAATCTAGAGAAGTTCATAGCAACCAAGCACAAGAGAACAAGCTCAGACATGGCACTACTGTGTCCTTCATGCAGGTGATCAGACACCAAGATGTACAAACAAAAAGTTCAGGATAACATGCATTTCATATACACTTGACCTCTTTAAAAAAAGAACAGAAAGAGGAAAAAATCTGAAGCACAACTATCTCTTTAACCATATAAAAAAGAAGCAATGTAAGAAGCCAATTTTTACAGTAAGCACAGTGCATTTTAGTCTTTTAGCTGCCTGGTCTTCTAGCAACATGTGTACACTTCTAAGTGACCAGTGAGATACCGCTGCAACATGACTGGGAAATAGGAAAGCAGTTGTTGGTTGAATGTGTATGGAAAAGTATAGAGTCAGAAGATGTTCACTGTGCACTCTTCACTTCCAAATGGGCTGGTTACTCCTATGTCTGGTGTCCTGAGATCTCCCTTTCCTTGAGACACTTCTGCACAGGTCCCAAATCTTCTTCCACTGGTGGCAGTGGCAAAGGTCCCACTGGAAACCCAGCAGGAGCCCCGGGCTCCGGGGCTGGATCTGACCCCGTGAGCTGTGAGCATTCCTCACCTCTTTGGAAGAAGAGACCTGCCTAACTCAGCAGGTTTCACCAACAGCTTGTTCTTAACACAATCCACACTTCCTAAAGAAACAGAGAGCCCAAGGCACTACCACCGAAACTTCCTGTAAGATGTGCATTTTTTAAATCATTACTTAATGCTAAAAGTGAAAGTACCAGTTGGTACAGCTGGTTAGTAACAGAAAGCTCATTTTATACTGAGGGTTTGGAGGGCTCAATGTCATGACTACGGTATTATAGCTTTGAAAAAGCAGTTTCACAGGTACAGAAAAAAAGTCCAG